CTTTTTTAGGAATTTTTTCTTGTTTGCGACAAAAAAATACTTATATATTTTTTAGTTTTTTTCCTATGTCATTCTATTTATTGTTTTTTTCTTGGGTGGTGCAGATGAGATGTAATTACGGCATCGTAGTAGTACATTTTATTCAACGATATAATATGCAAAACAATGTAGCAACACATTTTCTGTATAGACTCTTCTTTTCGGGGGAGAGGAAAATAATAAGCTTATATTGTTGCGCGTTTAGCATGCAAAAAAATATTCACAAAAGTATGCGTTGTGTCTGTTTGAGTTATATTCGCCTTTTAAGTTTAGAAATTGTAGCTATAAGGGAGTTTTTTCCTTTTTATGTTCATTTTTCAAGATGGGACATTTTAACAGGGGGATGGGATGTATATGAATAAAATTTTAACCAGACCATTTCATCAGTTTGCATAACTTTTTGCTTCGTAAAAGGCACACTATGAATAAGAATCGAAGAGGAATTTTTTTGGCAGATATATAGGGTTGCAATTTTGTGTAAGTCCATTTCGTTAATTTTGAAAATGCACAGTTATGAATGTATCATCTTCGTATGCAGAAGTTCATTCCGTTTCTTTTTGGTAAAAATAAAATGACAGACTGGCATTTACAATGTTAAGATAGCTTCATGAGTGGGAATAAATAACCCCAATTAAGAATATTTTTCATTCCGCTTTGGGGCGCACATATGAAAGGGAATAGCATTTTCTCAAGGCTATAATATGCTGATGGGGATGCCCCCAAAGGGTGATATCACAATGTGGCTGTCAAAACCGGTTGAGTCGTCTGTATGATATCTTCTCCATTCTGCTTTGTTTTAGTGTATCTTTTATGCTAAAGGGTGCATCGCTTTTGTGAGCAACAGGCATTTAGACGTTGATGCATAGTGTGGAGACATAATTATATACATAATTGAGTGCCAGTGCAAATTGCTGCTAAACTGTACTCAATTTAAAAGGGGGCATAATTGCAACCCCATCTTAATGAGTATATCATAGGAAGCACTTCGGACTTTATTTTTGTGCTTCATCACCGAGTGGTAATTTGCGTTTTTCTCGTGATAGATATAGTACGTTTTTGAAGGATAATTGTGGCACTGCAGAAGCAACCCCACTTAGGGTATGGGAAAGGGTAGAATGGCTGCAACTGTTATGAGGTATATTCTGCTCCTAAACTTTACAAATATGCTGATGATATACATATACATATTGATCGTCGAATGAGGACGTACAAAGTTCTGTTCGTCATAATCTTGTACATTGTAAAAAACTAACAGAGGGGGAAAAAACCCTCAAGGCGCATAAGCTACGTTTAACCTCAGAACAGATCTAATTCAAGAGCTACATAACAGAGATATTTCTCCGAGCAGGGTAATGGTAACGTGTTTAATGGCTGTGTTTGGTCTTTTATTATACACTTTCAAGCCAATTGCACCGTGAGATAGTTCACATAAATAGTGTATTTAGCTGCAGAGCGGTTCTAATGACAGAATTTCAAAGAACTGCATAGCAGGGATAAAGGTTGCATTATCCTGCCTCAATATGCTATAAGGAGGCAAGGGAATATCGAAAGATCATATCATGTCATTTATGTGAAATGTCCGGAATGTAAAAATTAAGGGAAGTTCAAATTTTTAAAAAACAGGTGAGACACAATTCCTCTCAACATTTGGGGGGGATTAGCAAGATAAGAGGACATGTGACATATTGTTTCGAAGACGCTAGGGTTCTTTTGTGAAGAAGTCGAAATTAAAAGGTAGGAAATTTTCCAAAGCACCAGAATCTACGCGACGTAATTACACGAATTTACTACGCTTTATGAATGAGGAGGAAGGTAACTTCATATCAGAAAAATTTAAAACAAAGTGAGGTTAACAAAAAAAAAGGAAAATTCCACAACGCTTTGCTAAAGGCTGATGCTCCCAACTGTACGCGTTAATGCAAAAATTAAGGAATAGGAGAAAATGGGAATTGTGGGGAAAACGTAAAAAGTTGACAACTTATTTAAATGTATAAAGCGGGCACAAAACTCAGAAGTAGAACAGAACGGAGCATAACAGAACAGAGGCAAACATCATATAGCAGAACACAACAGAACAAAACGATAGAACAACGGAACAGTGGTGTCGATGTGTGAGCAAATTTTTTGAAAGCTGCTTAATGGTTTTGGCTAATCGACTTCTACGGCGCCCATTGGTGGTGTACAAATCAACTCTGCACATCGCGGACCTGAATTGACACCAATAAAGAACAGGTCATTTTATATGAACGGGAACAAAATGGAAGAATCATTCTACTATTTGAAATTTACGTGTAAGCTGAATAATTGGCCAGAAGTGGAACCCTATCTGGTATACGACAAAGAAAGACACGTAAATATGTAGCACCTACCGAGTATATAGATGGCCATATTTTGAAATCTCCAAATGTTACATAGCTAATTTATGGATAATGTAATACATACCGGATGAAAAAAGGTAAAGTAGTGGAAAGGGAAAAAAAAAAACAAGTGCCAAAATGGAGATATATAACCAAGGGGAAAGGACTTATAAATAAGCCTCCATTATTATGATGATAGCACAATGATAGGGAAGATAAACAAAAAGTTAAGAACGCGAAAAAGTGCATACTTCATTTGAGGGCAGTATTGAGACATAAATATTAGTGGCTGCACTCGAAGAAAAGATATTTCTATCAGTAGTTCGCATCGCAGAATTATAGCTTGATTGAGGTTTCCTCAAATGGTCTTTTTGCTCAACGGTTGTTATTCTTTATATACGCAAAAATCTACAGATAATAAAGAAAAAAAAAAGAACCCTATTCTATATCTAAAGGCGTATATGAAATCATTGCTAATATGGGGGACAACAACAAGTCACGGGTGCTGCGGTTGCATGATCCATTAGTTGATCTAAAAAAAACCCGGTTATTGGAATAATTTATCATTTTTTTTTACTCTTTTAATTTGTCATAAACTGCGAAAATAGCATTAAGAAATATGATGGCAAATGAGGAACAGTATGAATAATATAGTATAATAGGTGGTGACTGACACCCCTTTTAAACCTTATGTTATTTTTCATTCCGCAATTTCTTCATAGTCGGAAAGAGATCATGTTATGCCCCTATTAATGATTAAAGAGAAAGGGTAAAAGAAAGGCGTGAAAAAAGGAAAAAAAAAAGAAAAAAAAGTAAAGAAAAAGGAAAGAAAAGGATACGAAGAACGGTAAAAAAAATAGTAAAAGAAAGGCGTAAAAAAAGGAAAAAAAAAAGAAAAAAAAGTAAAGAAAAAGGAAAGAAAAGGATACGAAGAACGATAAGAAAAATAGTAAAAGAAAGAGTAAGAAAACAGTAAAAAAAAGAGTAGGAATAAAATATTTTAGAAAAAATTGCTTCTTCCTCTAAGAAGCGTATTTATGCGGGTTACGCTGGAAAGGGACTAGAAAAACGAAAGAACAAGTTTAACTAACTGAGAGGTTTCTTATTGATATTTAAAAGAAGTGGTAAACGCAACATACAAAGAAAGAAATATGAGTTAATTTTAGAAGGCCAACTAAAGGGGGAAAGCATAATATATATACATAAATAAAATATTGGCATACCATTATTATGTATTTTATTTCGGGGAGATGCATTTTTTGAAGACTACTTAATGACGAGAAAAAATACATGCTTTTTTTTTTTCTCTCTTTCCTTTCCTCCGGGATTTGTTGTATTTCATAGAATTAATGAATGGTTATAAAGTTGAAACGGGCCACTAATTCTGTTATGCACGAGGAAGAAATAAATAAACATATCTTAAGATAATTACTGCATGGGCGTGAAAGGAGGAGAGTGAGCAATTGTCTCCCCTTAATCCCCTTTCTTTATAAGAAAATTGTTATTTTGAACTGCGCGCTTAAATTAATCCCATGCGCGACTTGTTTAAATTTAATTTCACAAATGAAGGTTTGTAGTATTATTTTAAAAGAACCCGAGATAGAGAAAAAATACAGGGGGAGAGGGCATAAAAAAATACAAGCTATAGAATAACATTATCGTCGCATGAGGGAAGTTTTAGCATTTTAACGTCGCACTAATTTATTTTTATTTATTAAAAATGAAAGTATATTCTTCTAATATTTATTAAGTAGCCATTCATTTGTTCTTTAAGGCGATTCCCCCCTTCACTTGTTTCTATTCTTTGAAAAGTTTTGTTTGCATGTATATTTTGCTTCCTTGTATTGCCATTCCCATTTTATTTCCTCTCTATTAAAATTCAAAGAATCTAAAATTAATTAATTTCATTATACAAGAAAGTAATAAAATAAGAAAAACATTTTTATTTATTTTAAAAAAAAATGTATTCTTTTTTAAGAATTTTGATGAAAGCACGATTGAAGTGAATCAAAAATAAATTATCAAAAATTAATAAAAGTTATTTATTTAAAATTTGTTTTAAAATATGTTTAGGAAAAAATATTTTCTAAAATATTATTTTTAATAAAATCCATTTGCACTTATAAAAACTGTTACGACATAAATTAAATTACGTTCATATTCTATCTTTTAATTTTTTATTTAATTAAAATTATTCCGAAACGTAACGTTGTTGAAAAAAATAATTTTGAAAATTAAGAAAATAAAATAATTCAAAAGATTAAGGATTTTATTATTAATAAAAAAAAAATGAAATAAATAACTCCTTGTTGCTATTTATTTTGTTGAGTGATACTGCTAATTAAACTTAGAATTAGGAATTTATCTATTCGAAAAGTAATTAATTGCTTGATATTTAAGTTTTTTTAAAAAGAAAGCATCATCTCATTTTAATCTTCAGTAAAAAAGAACATTAACCGCCATTATTGTATTCTTGAAAATACCAATATACCACAGGAAAAACTTTTATATGCATTATCTCTATAGCTAACAATTATTCTGATATATTTTCTACGCTTTTCATAAGCTTAAACTATTATTATTTATTTTACCTATTAATTCAAAATGGAAGACAGTTTCAATACTTTTGATGTAACTTCTGGCGAGAAAAATAAACATGTGGATGATCTTATCCCAGTACCGGAAGATGATGAATCATCTGTGCAAAGCTCAGTCCCGTCCCTCATTAAGGGTGCAGATAACTATGTGAGAGGATTATTCAATGGCTTTATGAACCCCTCTAGTGATGATGATTCTACTGTAGTTGATGAAAAGAAAGAAAATGATGAAAAGGAAGAAGATGAAGAAGAGAAAGAAAAGCCATTCTTAGTTTCAATGAGAGATGCCTTTAGGAACATTTTTTCTGACAAAAGAGCTCTAGCTATTTTGGGATTAATGTTTCTGATTGGAGTGTTGTTGCACATGTACAAAAATGGACACCTCACCAAATTGGTAATTTTTTTTGCGCATTTTGTGAGACTTCATTTTTTTATTTTTTTTATGAGTTCTTTTGACGAAACAGCCCTTTTTGTGCTTTCACAGAAGAACGGAGAGGGTCGCATTCATTTTACCATATGGAAGCCCAATTGGTGTCACGCGCCTTTGGAGAACAAATGTCCTATTTTTGCCTTCTCTATATAAATCACTCCTTTACTTCCCTTTTCTTACAGGCGGAAAAGATTCCATTTAAATATTACTTGACTGGAGAACACGACCACCACCATGAACAAGGACATTCCGGATGCACCTGCAAACACAAACATCAACACCAACCTGTAGTTAACGGTACCGGCCCAGTTGGGGAATGCCCATGCCAAAGAGCTAAAAGATTAGCCGAAGAAGCAGCTAAAGCAGCAGCAGCTGCAGCAGAAGCCGAAGCAACAGCATAAGACTAAAAATATCATTCTCATTGAATGAATTTTAGAAGATCATTTATAGAGTTAGAAGAAAAAGCAGAGAAAGAAGAGCGAATGGAAGTAAATGGTCCAACGAAAAAATGAAGAAGCTATCTATTTCGTAGCATCAGAGCAAGATTTACGAAGAAATGAACCTTGGGGATTGAAGGTGTAAGAAAGATCGAAATGATCAGATATGCCAACAGGGTTTGTTCTGAAATTCACCCCTTAGAAATGGGCCCCATTTAAAGCTGCTATACGTATGTATCATTCATCATATGTATGTGTAAAATAGGAAATTTTCTGATGCCATCAAGTTGTGAATCTTCATATCAGATTTTTCCCCACTCTCTGTCGTCCATTACTTTCGGAAGAGTAAGTGCATGTCTGCTACATATTACTATTATAATGATCTAACTGGAAAATACGCGAGACGGGTAACGGTCGTTCCCCCTTGGAAAGATTTTTTTACAGAACCCTGTTTCAATAGAAAATATATTACATACAAACATAAGAGTTTCATGAGGAGCGCAAGCCACGTTGGTGCTTTGATGCGAATAAATGCGCATTGCTACATTATATACATATATTTATATATACATGTATAAAAAAAATAAATAAACATTTTTCCTTTTAATTCAACTTAAGGAATAATTATGAATTGAAAAAAAAAAGTTCTGTGAAATATTTATTCAGCCCTGAAAATGATGTACGCTTTTTTGTTATTTTATATTTATCCTGTTTTGTTATTTATTTTTTTCTTTTTTTTGATATATTGAAATAATTATAAAATGAAATTATACAAGACGAACTTTTTCAACAGGGCTATATTCATGAACTAATGATTTGTTAGGAAATTACAACTACCATAAAATATAAGAAGGTTTATAATGAGAAATGAGAAAGGGATAAACATTTTTGATTTAATGATAGTACATGCATAGTCGTGCGCCAAAAGAACTGTGAATAATAAATTGTCTTTTTTTTTCTTTTTTCCCTCTAAGGGTACAATGACGTGGGGTACTGTATATCCCAAGTTTGCATAAAATAACTAGGAACAATTCCCTTTTGTTCAATTTTCTTATTAATTATGCGGGGAATTATTTATTCATTTCAAAGGGATTTCTTCACATGGGTTTATTCATGGATTATGTAAGAATATCTTTGTCTCTCTTGCATTTTGTTTATTCGTCGGAAAAGAACCCAGATGATGATGTGTTTTTTTTCTCTAATTCGTTTATTCTTCCATTTAAAGGTTTTCAAGTTAAGACATTCTGTACAATGAGCAACTATCCTGCTAATTCTGTACGTACAGCCTATATCATTTGGCATATATTCACCGGGTTAAGGTACATTCTATTTTGCGCTTCGACTGAGTGGTGACACTTCCACTTCTCTGTTCCTTAACCAAATTCCCCATTTCTGTGGTGAATCATTCTTAGCCAGAAGCATGCTTTTAATTGTCCACTTTTGAAACGTATTAACGTTCAATTTGTTGTCCTACATTTGGTACCAGCTCCAGTTTTATTATTTTTGCCTTTAAACCTTTTTCAAAAAAAAATATTTTTCATTTTTTCATCCGCATTTTTGTTGTAGCGTTTTTGCTTAATTTCTTTCCATAACCAAGTTTAAGGTAGAAAAGAAATATTTCTCTCTTCTTACACCTCTTTTGCACGGTAAGTCATAACAACGGTTGAGAAAGTGACTTGCGTATGAAAAACCGTAGATCTAAGACTTTTTCTCATAATTTTGTTTATTGTAGATAGAACTGTGCCAATAAATAAACATTCATGTTGGATATATTAGAAAAATGACGCCATCTTTAATGTAAGAGAAAGTAAAAAATATAAAAAATAGTGCTAGGATGGGAAGAATTAACATGCGTCATGCGGAATCCTAGGATGTGCATGTGCCTACGAACGAATTGGTAATAGAATAGCTCTTGACCTGTTGTTACAAGAATTATTACAAAATTCGCTTTTTTATTTTAAGATATAATGATAGAGGGAGACTAGAAAATAACGCTGCTATCACAGTGAGATCCTAGTAGGAATGAAGTATCCAACGAAATATACAGGTGCATATGTCAATAAAATTAGTGCTGCTTTTTACGTGACCCTTTCTTAGAAACAGAGCAGACGAAACGAACACGATATTTACAAAGTGACTGTTTATTTAACGATGCTGTTACAGTACTACGAATAATTGTTCAAAAGGATGACTTATGAGGCAATAATGTTTATTAACAAGATTAATGTTTTTCATTATTTACCAGAGAAAAAATATTAAAATTTGCAAAAAAAAAAAAAAAAGAGAGAATAAAATAAAATAAACTGCGCCTAAAATTGGTGTTGAAACTTCAGGATATATTTATGTAAATAATGAGACATGAATATCACAACTGAAATACACATATTGTAAGGAATCATTGTTACGATTGTATCTGTTAAAAGAAGAAAAAAAAAAGTATATACAAAAAGAAAAAAAATATATATTTAAAGTGCTAATGAAACATCAAATAGATAACCGCCGTTTAGAAAATGTACAAAGTAGGGATGATATACTACTTCTCCTAATATGACATAATCAACATTTCAAAAGAATTGTACCACATAATAAATTATATTCTAAGGAATATATATGTACACATATGCAATACAGAGAATTTTGAAAGGAACTATTTTTTTTTTTTTTTTAACGACACACACTCTATAACCGTCTTCACGAATTCGCATTTTCAAATATTTGCGTAATTCAATTTGGTGGTGAATTGTGAAAAAGTCGACTCTGAAATGAGCTGATTGTTTCGCTGCAAATATAATATTATTCAAACTGGGAATAAAGCACGCATTCAAATGATTCTACAAATATATATGCTAATTTTTAAAAATGTGTATTTTACTATAATTTCCTTAATTCCAGCTAAATATTTCGTTACTTCTTTTTTTTTTTTTTCTCCATTTCTTAGGCGAATCATATATTAGTAGTTTGAATGTGAAAATGCAGATTAGTCCAATTACCTGACACCTGCTTAACTTGGTTAACTATTTTTATGCTTTGTTTTTTAGGCAACAGCTGTCCCAAGTGCATAATTTCTTTCTTCTGTCCACACTTTCCACTGTTTTTGATCTATCCATTTTTCAATAAATGGCTTCATCCAATGATCAAACATAGCTCGTCTATAATTTCCCCATTTGGACCAATCATTCCATTTGTTATTTACGAATGCGTTATCTTTTTCCTGTACCCAGTTTCTCCAATCTGCCCATTCCCTATTTATTCTTTCTTTCCATTTGATCCAGTTGTCTCTGTCTTCTAAATTCACTAATTTAGGCCAAGTCTTACTTTCCCAATCATCCCAATATTTCTGTTCATTAAGTTTCCAGTCACGTAACATCCATGACATTATTTTGTCTTTTTTCCATTTTTCCCACTCTTTTGAAACCCAATCATCTAAGTGGTATTTATTTTCATACATCCATTTTTTCCAATCCAACTCCATGAATTTTTCTCCTTCTGTCCTTATCCATTCTTCCCACTGTCGGTCATCCCAGTGTGCAGATTTTTCGAAAAGGTTTGATTTATATTCTTTATCCAGTCCTTCATTATAATGCATCCATTTTTTTTCCATAACTCTTAGCCAATCTTCCCAATCTTTGTCCTTATCTACAAGCCATTTTTTCTTTCCATCTTCTACGGATTCCTTGAATTCTTCCCAGTTGTTATTCAATTGTCTCTTCCACATGTTCCATTCATTTTCTTTCAATTTTTCCACTGCGTCTGGGGTGTATTTATAAAAGTTGGCAGCCTGACTTGTCAAAAATGAAGGCTCTCTGGCAAAGACATACTGTTGTTGCCTCTTTGATGGCTGCAAGAAAAAGGAGGGTGGAAGAGGAGAACAATAACACCCGTTAAAATATTCGAAATGAAGATGTAAGACTTAAAGCAGTAAAGACACTTTTAACATGAAAAATTTGCTTCAGATGAACACAACATATTATATACCGATTTAAGAAAAAACAAAAATCTTTTGGAGTAAATTTCAGGCTTACCATTGAGAGTTCCTTCAGAAAATTCGCACACACTATTGTAAAAAAACCAACACTTAAAAGTGAAAAAAGAAAACTTAACAACCCATTTGGCGTGAATATGTTCCTATAGCCGCCTTTTAGTCTCTGCAGAAAACTATTGTCTTCAAATTTAGCGAGGACAGCTTTATCTAACAATTCTGCAGGCAATGCAGTACTTCGGCTTAGTGGGTTACTATGGACCGCGGTATTGCTGTTATCTGCCGTATTTCCACTAACAGTGTCGACACTATCTACTACAGTACTTTCTACGTTTTCGTTATCTACATAATCGCTAGCTTCGGTTCCCTCATCTTGGTACTCAGGAGTTTCTAGATTATCGGCCTCTGAGTTAAAATCTTCTAGATTAGAAGAGTCCCTGCTGTCTAGTTGTTCATCCGCGTAAAAATCATTTTCCATTTCCTCACCTACCTCTACTTCAGCTATTGGCTCATCCTCCATCACTTCTTCACCTACATCTTTGTTATCCGTATAATCGGTGTCCATTGTGGCCTCATTTACATAATCCTCAGTATAGATTTCCTCATCCAATATTTCATCTGACACGTTATCATCGGTTGGAATATTATCATCTAGCATGTCGCCTTCTAATCCATCATCAAGCAATCCTTCATCTTCTATTGAATCAAAACCTAATTCTTCGGCGTCTGCTGTATCTCCATCTACCATAACATTGTCAATTACTTCTTCATCGGGGATTGCGCTTTCTAAATTACTATCTACTGAATTGTTATCAAATGTATCAGTATCCATGTCTATGTTTCGTTATACATTTATGGAGAAGAAGTGAATATTTCTAAAAAGTAACGTAGTGTCAACTGTTCACGTGTTCAAATAGCTCTTATAGTTAACAGCAGCGTGAGGTTGAAAGATATTTCATATTTATGATTTTCTTTGTGTAGCCCCCAAAAATAATAATATATAAACAAGGCAGTAAAAATAGAGAAGGTGGGAAAAGAAAAAGGAATTAATAAAAATTAAAAAAGAAATGGAAAAAAAATTATATACTATTCGGATAAGAGCATTCTGCAATAGGAAAGGGTTCTCCAGAAAAGAATCATTAGGCACCATGAAATGTTTACGGGTTTTATTATGCCGCTATATTTTTCAATAGAACATTAAATAATAAGAGAAAGAATGAGAAATTATTTTCAAAGAACTAATTTTTTACTATAACATGGGTATGTAATTACATGAACGTATTTGTTTCTCCACTGAATAGTTAATAGTTACTGCTTCGGTAAGATGTCATATATAATCATTTAAAAAAATAACGAAATCGTAAGGAGAAAACATTTTAAAATACAGAATTTATGCATAATATATATGAGAAGATGAAAGTTTTTTAGGATATCACCGATTTCGGGTATTTGATTCCACCGGAACTCGACTGCATTGAATTTATTTTTGTTTAGAACCGAATATTCAGAAAAAAACCTTTCTGCATAAATGCAAAAAATATGCCATTTATGAAAAGAAATCTTTTTAAGAAGATATATTTGCATATAGGTAAACCCGTATAGGATTTAATTTTTAGGTACAACTCTATATATAAATATATTATTCATGTATTTATTTAAAAATATTCTATTAAATCAAAGTAGTCCTTACGAAAAATTATAAATATCATATACGTGAGATATTAACTTAGGAAAAGAAATAAATGCCGATTCTTTGGGCAATTATTCAGAGTTCTTTTTCAAAGAAATCACGTGTGCATTATTTATATATACGTATGTATAAGACGTAAAACATAATAAATTAACTGAAGAAAATTAATTAAATCGTATTTCTTTATTTAAAGCATAAGAATAAAGCAGAAGTTATATGCCTTCTTCGATATTATTTATGTATACATAATTTTTTTTTCTTGTCAGAGATAATATTATATACCAACCAGGTGCCATGATATTTTCTGCGCGTTGAAGAGCATAATCATTTTGCGCATTATCCTATTCTTTAATTCTATGAGAGCCATAATATATATTCCCGCGGCATAGTTCATAGAAAAAATTGAATTTTTTTTTTTTCACTTTTGTCCAATGACATTTTGGGGAACAAAGAAAAAAAAAGAAAATAATAATTAATTAAAATTGGAAGAGGAGAAATGTAGATTGGCATGCAAAAAATGAGAATTTCAGATTTAAGGCGTTCCGTATATACGTATAATAAGGGCGAAAAAATGATGAGAAGATATTATGATATAGTTCCTATAAATTGATTATATGGATATATATCTCTACATATATGTATATTTTCGCTATCTACATATTATAATTGAAACATCGTTTTAATATCCTTATAGCCGTGATAAAATAATGCGTTAAAGAAGGAAACGAATGTAGATTTTTTAAATATATTCCATTTATAACAACAGTTCTTTTAAATTGGACTAATCGTTTAACTAGCGTTATGCAAGAATGCGATATGCCTCTTCTCATGAAATGTTATTTTAATATAGTTGCATATTGCATGTAATGTATCAATAAATATACAGACAATTATATATAGTTGGAACAACCATTTGTAAATAGTATTCATATGGGAGAAGCCCATCGTATAAGAAACGTTGAGTGCAATAGAATGTAAAAACAGATCCTGAAATTTTTTGAATTGTCCAGAAAAGGCAAAATTTGCATTTTCATGAAGTGGCATATTATACATGGAGTTCAAGAATTTAGCACAGAATTAAAAATGGAAGCAGGACAATAATATTTACACGTAACGAAATGGTTTAGAAAGTGAAGCTATAATATTACATGGGTTTACACTTATTTCATCGTTCTACCTTTTGGAATATTCCATGTGCTGATGAACACATCCTCTGTGATAATTTTATACTACGAAGTAAGATTCACTAAAGTACACGGATAAAAAATCCACATAATCTTTCACTGAATTTATCGTATTTGAAAAGTTGCAACTGAAATTGTATAACGACAAGGTATACGTTTTTAAAATGAAGATAGAATAAGTGTACATACATTTAAAGAAAAGAAAAGAAATGATATTAAGTCATACATCCGCTTAATGGCGGACATTATAAATTTAGCCGGCAATGGTACCTCATAAAAGGAAGTACATTTATTTATCTTCTTAAGAAGGATGTATGTTGTACTTATACATAATTCATGTTTTTATTAATTCTTACTAAGACGATGTAAAAGAGGCCCGTTTCTGCGTTTCTACGTTTCAACCGCCGTGCATAGTACAAATTATGATCGTAGATTTTGTACAGCATAATTCAATGCCATTCGTTTGGAGGAAAGCATAATGTTAGAACAAAGGGCCAGTTTATTGATAGGCGTCCACCTTAGATGAAAAAAGCTGTATCATTCTTACGATGGTATAGAAACTAGAGTGCAAAAATAATTTCACATAATTCGATAGAAATGACCTCTTATAATATGCTAATTGTGGGAATAAGGAAATATAATAACTATTGTGATGATAAAAATGGGATGTCTAGTTGACAATGTCGATGTATGGCGGCGCCTCAACTTATTAGCCGATGCACGCGAAAGGATGTGAGTATAGCATGCCATCACATCTACGGTATTGAATCTTGGGTAAAAAAAAAGAAATAGCAACATAAACTAATCTTTACGTGCTAATTTGTTAATACAGTTTGTTCCCATTCGTATAAAGTGGAATTACGTAGTTGGTGAGGTTTTTTTTTTTTTTTTATCTGCTAATGTAGCGGATCCAATGTCATAAGTTCTTTCAGCATCTCTAATAGTGGATAATACTACTGATGGTGGTCCTCTTGTTTTTACTGCGATCCAGTTCTCTGCATAATTGGGTAAAATAAGGATTCACTATAGATAAAGGAGCATTCTGCCAGAATAGAACGTTTTTCTGATCACAAAACGTTATTATTACGATGTATGTGCGGTTGTATATACTTCATTTTTTTTCTTTTTTTAAATGCTATTGTGGTACAAGAGATGTCCCTGCTACATACTTCCGACACACTCTTGAAAGGGGGTCAGAGGAAGCTGTATAGAGAAATAATAAAGGGAAACATATGTTCAAATCTTTCTGGAATTGATAAATAAACATTTTATGAAAGGTAAATTCGGTTGTGATGTAAGATTGGCTTAAATTCTATTTGCATGTGGGGAGTGTTTATCCCCTTTCCGTAGGTTGTCTAGGTAACAGTAATTACCAAAAATAGTACAATTTGGAGGTAGAATGCGGATATATACAAATTGTTAAGAGAATTATAAATGAGTAAGCTAAGAGACAGTGTAATGAATTATTTTTATATGAATGTTGAGTAACTATGGCTAAGTGATCAACGTGAATATAGGACCGATTCAATAAAGATACAATAAGTTTTACGATTGCCCTTTGCTCAATCACGTTTCACATAAAGAAGACCCTATTATCTTGTATAAAAAAGGTATTTTTACAACCAGCCACAAGCTGAAAGTGAGAGAAAAAAGAACATATATATATAAGTTCTCCGAATAAAAAATCTAATTCTTGTAGGTACGTTAATATTTAATTCACATAGAACAGAAGTAAAATTATAAGACAAAAGGAAAGTACATAAATTTAATTTTAAGAAGCGGGAAAATGGCGATTTAATTCTTTCCTATTTAACAGAAACAATAGGATCTATTATTATTTTCCAATACTTAGAATGTTTCCTTAAGTGTAATTTACAAAAGTGATGATGAAATGCTATGCTAAATGAAAAATAAAATTATATGTAGTATTGTGAACTATTATTTCTTAGATTAAGCACAGAACATAATATTCCATTATTTATGATGTGCAGACAAATGGGAGAAAAATATAATATGTAATATATTTACCCAAGGAAGAAAAAACAGAAAAGACCTAAATGAAAATATTAACTCATTATAAGAAGAAAAAGGAAAATAATCTTATAACAGCTTTTATACATAACTAATAATTTATGTACATACTAAATAGGGAAATTTTAATCTATTGTTCTAATGAAGAACATACAAAACTACATTTATAATAATTCATTCTGACAAGGATCAGAAAAAGTTATATATAGCTCACATATACATTTACAGTATATGCAAATTTTACTCCTGAGTATAAAAAAATTAATCTATGTACTTAAATCATTTACTTCTTCGAGGTTCCGGTTGATAGGTAACTTGTTTAGGTGGTCCCTGTTCTAAAAATTTCTTAAGATCGTTCGTTTTACTGTAAACTTTGAACATACGTTTGCATTTCCTATATTTATAGTAAACGTATATGGATGCTAAAGCACCGAATACAGCAGATACGATCATACCGATATCGTGCGTTATAATGGAAAATAATACGAAAATTAGAATCATCACTAGAACTGGAGAAAGGGTTGTTATTATGTTAGAAATTCTGTCTATGAATCCAAGTTTTGCTCCACCTTCCTTTTTGCTTTGAGAAGAAAGTATCATGATGTTTAGCATTTCTGTTTCATACATTGCGTCTGAGTTTTTTACAAAATTTTTAATTCCATTAAAGAATCTAGCTACTTTTCCTTTAGGTTTCTGTTGAGTAGTACCCTCTTTCTTTGATCCAATAGGAGATGGTTTACCTTGAGGACCAGATGGGGATTGTCCAGGTGGTGTAGGCTGTAGACCAGATGGGGATTTCCCGGGTGGTGTAGGTTGTAGACCGGATGGGGATTGTCCAGATTTTTTATTGTAGGGGTCAACATATTTTGTCTCATAATATCGTTCAACATCATCATCATAATCAGAATCATCATCATAATCAGAATCATCGTCAGCATCATAATCGCCGTCGCCATAATATCTTCTTGAATCGTATCCTTTTGAATGATGTGGATGGTCGTTTAATGTATTGTATGATTTTTTTCCATCGTCTTCTTCATACATTGAACCATCTGGTTTTCCAGCTCTTTTAACATTTCCGTATTTATCATTCGATGCTTTGGGGGGATAACCCTTCGCAGGATATTTTCTTGGTGATCTATCTCCTTTATTATCGAATGCAGGCTGTTTATAATTTGAAGGTCTCCTATAGCTGTCATCTGGATTATCACTATAATCACTATAATCATCATCTTCATCACGATATTTTTTATTCTTTTGACCACTTCGATCATATTGATATTTACTATCGTCTGGGCCCTGAGCGTATCTATCATCATCAAGCTGTTTAAGACCGTCTTGGCCTTGAGGATATTTACGATCCTCGCGGTCCTCAGGATATCTATCATCATGATGTTTGCGGTTGTCGGGATCATCCCGATCACCCCAATCATCTCGATATTTGCGGCTGTCGCGATCCTCATCGTATCTATCATCAGCACGCTGCTTACATCTGTCACGCTCCTGTGGATAT